GTGGCCAGGGCTAGGGAGCTTTGACCCAGGGCTAGGGAGCTCGGTGGAAGTGTTTCAAGCTGCAGCTCTCTAAGGCAGGGTGTGCTGGAGTCACAGCATCCCTAAGTCAGAAGAGAAGCGTCAAGGGATGTCAGCCATGGAAGGCCCTTAAGGGTGATGTGCTCTAATGCCCTTGTTTTGTGGACAAGAGACCGAGGCCGAGAGTTGGCGGCTCTTCCAGTGCCATTTCCAAAGCAACAGAGGAAAGAAACCAGGAGTTCCTGTGATAGAAAGGGGCTGGGGCTTGGGGGCCAGGAAGGGGAACCAGAGCAATGGCAGCAATCCAGGTGTGTCCTGGAGTGTGTGGGCAGGAGGACAGATGGAGGGGATTCTTAGCTACATGGGACTTAAAACTTTATCTGGTTGAATCTTGATTTGTCAGTGAACTTGCAGGGCCCAGAGAGGACGGTGAGTTACTGACATCACCGAGAGAGATGCTTGTAGACACAAATCAGGGCCCCCTGACACCCAAGGCTGGATTTATTCTGCAGCCCCACACCACCATCCTCACAACCCCTGATCACCCTGGTCCCGCAGGGCCAGAAACAGCCTGAGCCAAGGGACAAGTCCACAGATTTGATGACTTCTCTGATTGAGCTCTGAGGCTGAGCTTGGGGAAAACGGGCATGCCTTTCTCACATGAGCTGTGTGGTATTCTTTGCTGGGGCGGACGAGTGTGGGGCTCACAAGCATTGAGTACCTACTGTGTACCAGAAACCATGAGGGTTTAAAAAGGATGAGTGGGAAGCAGTGTCTGTCCCCCAGGAGCTGGAGGTCCTCAAAGGAGAGGCAGTGCTGACATAGTTAGCTCCCTCAATGTGTGCTGGGATGGCCTTTGCCAGAGGCTGATGGAGTGTGTGTCAAGGCCCTAAGGCCTGGCACATAGCAGGTGCTCAGAAAATGGTAGTGCACAGGAAGCAGCAAAAATGGCAGCAGCTGGAAGCTGTGTTAGACATTGAGTCCACAATCCACAGCGTTTGTGTGTGTGTGTGTGTGTGTGTGTTTGTGTGTGTGTGTGTGTGTGTGAGAGAGAGAGAGAGAGAGAGAGAGAGAGAAGGGGGCAGAGGAGTGAGTGCAAGAGAGAAATGGCGATCGCATCACATGCTTATTGAGTACTTACTGTGTGCCTACGTGCCAGGCACTGGTGTAAGAACTTTACATGTTTTATTTCATTTTAATCTTTGCAGCAACCCGTAAAGTAGGCACTACTATTGTCCCCATTTTACAGAGTGAAAAGCTGAGGCATGAAAGGTTAATTGTTGATTATCCTGTAACTGTAATTGTAATTGGCAGATGTGGAATTTAAACTTAGGTCATCCCAACGTCTACCACCTTGTCCTCTCCTGCCAGGGCTGGAGATGGCACTGCCCTCCAGCAGCACTGCCCTAACCAGGGATCTGTCCGCAGGTCCCTGCAGACCACTCGTCATGTGTTCAGGACCTCAATGAAGGGCGGGAGGGAGTGGAGGATGAAGGAGGCTCGGGCCTCACAAGGAGCCTGTACTCGGGGCCCAGGAGACTCTGCTAACAACAGCAAGGTTCACATGGCATTTTCTATATGGCATTTCCAGTTGATCTGCTCTGGGCGCTTGATCAACTCATTCAGTCCTCACACAGCCTGTGAGGCCCATCCTGCCACTGTCTCCCAGCTGAACAGATGGGGCTGACACGGAGATGGGGGTAACTCATCCAAGGCGCATCTCTGGGCCAGAGCCGGCATTCTGGGTGCGGTCTACTCTCAACCCCTGTATGTCCTGCTGCTTGCCAAGAAGGCTTCTAGCACGCAGGGGGGTCAGAAGCAGGACTAAGGCAGGGTGGTGAGAGGGCAGTTCATATTTCTTGTTGGGGCCAGGAGTGGCTGGCCCCATCACACGGCTGGTGCTGTCAGAGCCCATCCAGTCCCCTTTCCATGACAGCAGGTAGATATGCAGCAGTGTGAAGAGGGACTTGACAAAACGCCCTGTAAGTTTCCAAGAAGGAGGCCAAGGTGGCAGCACCCTAACCCAGCCCCTCCCAGCCAGTCACTGCCGTGGGCTCTGTGATCTGAAAGAGCTTAGAGGACCCACATGCTCTAGGAGCAGCAGCGGAGTAACCCCAGGCCTCTGGAGAGAGGCTGGCAGCTGCTGGCATAGGAGTTGGCCACCCCAGCGCCAGGGATGGCCGCCTCCACCCTCCCTGGGAGACTCTCCCCGCAGCACCCCGGCCCCTCCGCACTGCATGTCCAAACATGCAGTGGCCCAATTGCCAAATGTGGCAGTCTGAGCCTCAGGTATTTGCTATCAATATTTCATGCTTCAAACGACACTGTCTAAACAACACCTATGAAATATTAATGGATTGAGGTTTTGACAAGCAAACAGTGCAGGCAAAATATCAGGATGATGAGGAAGGGAGGGAGATGCACCTGCATCCTGGGGTCAAGCTAAGGGATTGTGGGGAGACCGTCCTCCATGCATAGCATAGACGCTGACTGCGAAGCTGCTGCCTTAGCAGGGTCCTCACCAGGGTTCGGGGACCGGACACAGGGCTGAGCTGGGGGCTGTGTCTGCAGTGTGGGGGATGATGCTCCACAGACTGTCCTGCGGGTCTCTGGGGCTTCGGGAACAGACCAAGGGAAAAGGCAGTGCAGTGTGGAGCTTGCTTCGAGCACCAGAAAGGCCGTTCCCTCCCAGCTTGGAGAGGGCACAGGAGGTAGGCGGATGGGCTGGGTCTGTAGGGGTAGGGACGGGGGCGGGCAGGTCACTCAGTGGTCTGCCTTCTCAAATTGCCCGCCCTCCACCCTGTCCCTAACCTGCATGGCACTAAGCATGTTGAAGCAGCTCCTCTGTCCTCTGTCTCTGGTCACCACTGACCCTCTTGGGGGCCTGTCACAGCACCCCTCTGCTGTCCCCTCTGGAATTGCCCCACCGCCAGCCCCAGAGCCATGTGGGCAGGGGACGATGTCTAGCCTGAGCAAAATGTGAAGGCCCCGCAGCCTTGGGCTGTGTCCGTCTTCAGAGGCCTTCTGTCTCCAGGAGCCCCTCCAGCCCCAAGCTGCTTCCTCCCTGGCTGAGAGGCCACACACACCCATGGGGCTATGAACCTCATGCCTCAGCTTCTCCAGGTACAACACAAAGGGCCAGGGCATGATTGTCTCTGAGGTCTCTTCGAGCCCTGACGATCGGCAGGTTTGCAAGTCACTGCTTGATTTCACCACCCTTGGCAGAGATCCCAGGGATGGAGCTCCTGCTCTCTGCATTCAGCAAGCAGTTGGCGGAGTCATTGAGCTAATGTGACGAGCTGTAACACAGATGGGCCCAGCTGTAGAGCATGCGGAGATCTCAGCCTCGGGGTGGGGATGAGGGAGAGGGAGTAGCTGAGGCCAGGGCTGGGAGCTGGCTGGGCCAAGGGACTGGCATCCCATGGGGAGCCAGAGGATGGACATTGGGGTGTCCTGGGGGCATTGGCCCGTTTGAGCTTGTTTGGAAAGTTCAGTGGGAACAGGGGAAGCCTGGGCAGCAGGAGTGACGGTCTTGCTAGCTGCCACGTGAGCAGCACATTGTGGTTTTAAGGGGTGCTCACCCCCCGAATCAAGGCCCAGTGGGTTCTCCAGCACTGGGCTAGCCACTTCCAGCACTGGGGAAGTACTACAACCCTCCCTGAAGGCTCCTTGTACCAATCAGGAGGTCCCAGGTACTAGGGATCTCCAGACACACCACATCCCAGGCTTGCAATGGAAAGGCTGACTCCAGACCACTGACCAGTGGGGCATCTGAAATGGCTCTTCTGGGGTCTGTCTTACTGGGGGGCCTGGGCAAAGCTAAGGCAGCGGCTTCAGGGTTGGCTTCTGCGCTTAAGAAGGGCCAGAGGATCACACCCGCCATAAAATGAGCCTTGTTGTCTAACCCAACGTCTTCCCAGAGGGCATTTAGGCCAGGTAGTGGGTGTGAGGCCACCAAAGGGGGCCATCTGCTCCCCTAGTCCAGGCCAGTACTGGGCAGAGAGAAGTCTCTTGCTTTCAGGAAAAAAAAAAGAAAATATCTTCATCTAGATCTCGTCTAAGAAATTGACAGGATTGATGGGAGCTGCTGATTCCCTGAGCTTTCAGACTTGGTGAGGGCGGCACATGGGGGCTTTCTGTAATCTTTCGCTGATGGCTTAGATGGTGGGGCAGATCTTTCAGGAGCAAAAGATGACCTTGAGGAAACATGGATTCTGTCAAAGGAGGAGAAAAATAATTTCCCTTCCTCAAACTGCTGTCAATAAGCCTCGGCACGAGAGTGGTTGAGGGAAACTACCTGCCGCTGTAACCTCCCACCTCAGGAGGCTGCAGCATTCAACTGCGTGATAAGAAATTGCCAGCTACTTTCTAATTACAATTATCATCATCGTGGATGTCTTTCTTAATTACTTTTTTATAATTAGCTGTTGCTTTTCTTCCTCTGCATGTGTGTGCTTTGCAGATTTGCTGACATTTGAGAGCCCCAAAATAGGGACATTTGGGGAGGAGGGCAGAAAGGTGGGGGGAAAGTGAGAAGGGACCTTCTTTTCAGGCAGGCTGATATGTTTTGGGGCCTCTGCAGAAGGAAACTGGAGAAAGCACAAGATGCAAGGAACCGGTCATTTCCTGAGCAGATGGGGAAAGAGAGCAGGGGCGTGGATTTAGGAGCTGAGGTTTGTGGAGGTCTCTGCTGTTAAATGCTGGAGGAAATGTTCTCGAAAAGCCAGCGAAGTTACCGTTTCTCCAGCTTGGAGTTTCATTTTAGGAAATGAGGCTGGGATGAAATGTACTCTTATAGGATGCATTCTGGAGTTAATTAAATGACTCAGGTCAGGTGTAGCTTGATTTTCCCCCAAGCTGGTGATGCGTTCTGAGCGTCCCTGGGCACCAGGGATCTGTGACAAAATAGATTATACTCCTTGACCAGATGGTTGGTTTTCACTGTTTGTTCTGGTTCTTCCTCTCTCCCCGTGTCCCCTCAGCCCTGTGTACGGAGGAGTGTGTGCATGGCCGCTGCGTTTCCCCGGACACCTGCCACTGCGAGCCCGGCTGGGGAGGGCCCGACTGCTCCAGCGGTGAGTCTGGGGTTTGGGGGTCAGGAGGCCCCCTGGCTCTGACTTGGTAGGGGGGTGGGCTGTGGTGTGTGCCTGCTACATTTTTGTGTTGTGCTGGGGAGATTGGGATGGGCTGCCTGAGCCCGTGCGAACGTCAGGAGGGGGTACACCCGCAGTGAAAACATGGTGGCACTGGAGGGATGCTGATTTGTGGGGCTCTGGAGGGGGCATCGCGTGTTGTGTATATAGGGAATTGTTGGGTTGTCTGGACCACTCTGGCTTTTGATGGAACGTGTCTAGATACGGTCTTTGACAGTTGATGTGAAATTGACCCAGTGCCCAGGAGTACACACCCGGGAGGTCATCGTTGTCCAGCCCTGGTCCCCAGGTTCACTGGTCCAAGCACTTAGTTTTGTGAGCACCCACAGAAGCTCAGGGGAACTGATTTATGAGACTGGTGGGCCTTAGGATATCTCTGTGTCCCCAAAATTAGAACAGGACACTCGGGGGGCAGGGGCAGGTCCTTGTGTTCTTACATTTTTGTGGGTAGATGGTTCACCTTCTCCAGGGAAGCCTTCCTACTGAGCTTGGGGTGAGGTGATGTTCTCGGGGCCGGCCCAGTGACCCACAATGGCATGGTGCATCGTCTCTAGTGTGGAGTTGGCCACCGAGAGGGTGGGGCATACCTGGCCGCTATTCAGGGAATTCTCTGCCAAGAACCCAGATGAAGATGAATCCTCCTCCTCCTCTGGTTTATTGCCCCCAGATATTTTCAGGTGACCACCTATCCATTGGCACATTATGCGTTCAAGGGTTAGTTAGTATCATGCTCTTAATTGATTTTCAGAGAGGCCTTGACTGAGGTCAAAGCTCAAATTTCTTCCTGCTTTGAGTTGGAGTGGAGTCTTCTCATGGTGACCTGAGTAGATAACACAGCCAAGCGGCTCCACTAGGGATCTAAGCCCCGTTATTCACCCATCTTGGGGAGCCACCTCCATGTTCCCCCTCGCATACCTGACTACCATGGTTATGAAAACTCAGGAGAGTGTTGGGTCCATGTTAGCCAGTGTGGTGCGTTGCCCTTTTCTGCTCTCTCTGCTGCCATGGAAACATGTAGTTATTTTTTCTTACCCCCAAAGGCTTTGACTGGAACCTCTCTGTCTATACCAGGTGTCCCCAAACTACGGCCGGTTGCGGCCCCCGAGGCCATTTTTCCGGCCCCCCGCCGCACTTCAGGAAGGGGCGTCTCTTTCATTGGTGGTCAGTGAGAGGAGCACAGTATGTGGTGGCCATCCAACGGTCTGAGGGACAGTGAACTGGCCCCCTGTGTAAAAAGTTTGGGGACGCCTGGTCTATACAGTGCATGAGAACATTCTGGCCAAAGCCAGTATGTGGTTTCGTTTTGAGCCTGGGTGATTATCTTGGCTCAGGAAGTCCGTGATCTGTCTGAGGTACCCGGGAAACCTCCCAGCGTATTGGGATGTCCAGTGACCACAGTGACCTCCTCCTTCCACTTGTCCTGTTTTGAATGAGCCATGACTGAGAAACAGGGCCACATGATGAAAGGTAAACTGAGGCATGGGTGAGCTAAATAAAGGGAGATGTCTAACCAGTCTTTCTGTGGACTTGAGCTGCAAAAATACGATGGGTGAAATGTCTGGGCTTTTCCTCGCTTATCTGAGTTTTGTTTTGGGTAACTTGGCTTACAAGAAATCTTTGAGGCGAGAACATCTGACCTGGATTAGGTCAGCCCTGCTGGGATGGGTCTGCCTGCTGCTGCTGGATTCTAATGCTGAGGGCAGCCTATTGGAGGTTGAAATACAGCCAGAGTCCCTGAGGCCCTGAGTGTATGGAAATCACCAATGAGGGCAAGTGTATTTAATACCCACTCTATGCTCAGAACTGTACTAGGCCATGGGGAGGGCCCTGGAGGGTTTTTTAGACATGGTCTGGGCCTTTTCAGGGTTTCCAGCCTAATGGAAGAGATGGAACAAAGGTGGCATTTGATGAAATGAACTAGGCAGTTTAGAGTATGACTTGTCCCCAGAGTGAATTTACCAGGGAAGCAGGGAAACAGACCTGTTACTTCACAGCACAGAACTAGACTGTGATTTAACACCCCCAGTTCAGTCACTAGACTTGGTGCTCAGCAACCTGAAAGCTCTTTCCTCTCAATTGAAACCACCCTCATGGGTTGAAGAGCCATCACTCTTGGGTCTATTCAAAGGCATGTGCTATTGAACCCATGGGAAGTTCTAAAAGGGATTCTAACCCTGTTTGAGGGACAGCAGCATTGAATTAAAGCAATTCATAGATTGTCACTTTCAATATCATTCAGAGCATTGACCATTTAGATGCTCTGCTAAGAGCTTTTCAACCTCTGCTTGAATACCTCCGCTGACAAGGAGCTCACTACCTCTTAGGGAAGTTTTTCCTTCTCTGTAGTGGGAATCTACCTTCTAGCTTCTATTGGTTGGTTCTTGCTCATAATAAAGTCCAGGTCAGGGTGATAGATGACCATGGTGCTTCTTGTCCACGGAATTTCTTCTAAGGAGTTCATTGGACAAGACCAAAGTCAGTCTGTGTGTATAGAAATGGTCATCTCAGAGCAGCTGATCATAGCCATTGAGGCTAGTCAGTGGTAAGTCTGGGACTATCACCCAAGCAAACACTCATGTCCTGAACCTGAACTCTTAATTGTTATATTCTCCCTCCTTCTGGATGCTCAGCCTCTGTTAATATGGCCCAAGGTTGAAATTGATCTGTCAGGTATTAGAAGATAGTGATCATTTTCCTCCTCAAGTGTTTCTCCTCCAAGCTCCCTGGTTTCTCACATGATGTCATCTGGACTGCTTTTCCCATCCGGTATCTCTCCCTTGGCTGTGGCCTTATTCCTCTTAAATGCTCACTCCTAGATCTGACCACACAACTGCAAACTTGGTGTGATCAGTATGGAAAATGGAAAGTGTATTGAATTTCACTATGCACTGAGTCCTTTTTTTTTTTTTTTTTAACTTATCTACTTGTTTAATTTTCACAACCTACTTACAGCATGGGAATTGTTATTTAGCCCCATTTTACAAAGGAGCAAATTGAAGCACAGAGAGGTTAAAGAACTTCCAGTAAACACACAGCTAGTCAATGGTAAGTCTGAGGCTATCACTCAAGCCAACATCTATGTCCTGAACCTGAACTCTTAATTGGTACATTCTCGCTCCTTCTGAATGCTCAACCTCTGTTAATATAGCCCAAGGTTGAAATTGATCTGTCATGAGAAAACATGGTTGTTCACAGGGGAAGGTGAGCTCTGCTTAAAAGATGTGGCCCTGAGGTACTGTTGTGGAGACAGAGGAGTCCGCCGTGGGACACAAATTGTTAACAGCTTTGTGCCAAGCAACTGAGACTGCTTGCTACATGCTGTTGGGGGTCTGTCTGCCAGTGTGCGCTCTGCAGTGCCCCTAGTATCTTGGTGGGCCTGAATCTGTGGAGACAGGTGTCTCAATCCCACTTCTGTGTGGTCTCTGAATGGGATCTGTACGTGTGACGCCCTTTCAGAGAAGCTTCGGTTTTGTTTAATTGAAAGCATCATTCTTGTTTGTATTTTTCCTTCTGGTTATTAGGTTATACCGGTTCATGTTAAAAAGAAAAACTGTAGCAGAAGTGTAGACAAAGAAGGTAAACTGTCCTCCCCGGAGGTCACCACTGCTGGCATCTGGGTGCTTATCCCTCCTGTTGGTCCTCTCTACATTTGCACATGAAGCCAGATCTGGATATGTCTTTTATTATTTAGATCAAATATGTATGCTAGTCTGTCTCTTGCTTTTTAAATTTCACTTTATACTACGCACTCATTTTCTTGTCAATAAATATGCATCTCCCTTAGGCTTTTAATGGCCTCACAGAATTTCATTCTGTGGATGACCGTGTGTATTTAACTAGTCACTTGTTGATGGACATTTAGGTTATCTCTGATTCTTCACTATCATAGGTGCACCATCCTTTATCCAAGATCCGTGGAGCCTGTTGGCTTCAGAATTGAGAATTTTTCAGAGTTTAGAAAGCATATGGTGAGTATGTTATGTGTGACCTATGACCCTGTGGGGTCTGGGCAGCACCATGGGTGAAACAGTGATGTTTCTGAAGTGACAGATGACTAATCACATCTAATGACACAAAGACAACATATAACCTCACATCAGTTTCATGTAGATGTTGCCTCTAAACGGATTTTGGTGCTGAATTTTTAAAAACACTTTTTGGACCTTTTAGGGATTTTTGGATTGTGTGTAAAAATGCTGCAGTGACTCTTCTTATGCATATATCATTATCCACTTGTCTCAATTTCTTCTTAGGATAAATTCCTGGAAGTGGCAGGGAAGATTATGAAAATCCATCATCTGACTGCCTGCCCCTACCCTGCCGTTTGTGGCTACCAAGGGATTTATGACCTGGACAGCAGTGAAGGGGATAAATCTAGTAATAGGTTGGGGTGGGGGTGGGGACTTCTCATTCTTTTACAGACTTATAACCCCCTAGCTGAATTTTTTTAAGGTCTGGACTAATTTCTCCTCCGTAAAGGAAGAGAGGTGGTACTGATTTGCCTGGTGGGCTGACATACCAACTGCGGGATAATCTGGGCTGCTGGACGTCCCACTATGGGGAAATGGGGTGGCTGCCTGCTTGGTCATAAACCTCCATCCCGTATAATAATGAAGAGTAAAAGGATGAAATGTCAGTTTATACTGAATCAAGACGACAGAGTGACTCTTATTAAATTGCACTAATCTTACAAGTGGAGATAAAAAGGAAAAAAGTTTTCCTATATTGAATATCTAGCTTTTTAAAGTAATTAGGAATATTAAAGTGCTGACAATGATTGAGATAGAAACATTATTCATAACTTTTATTTCCGCACTGGGCAACGATCCAGTATATTTCATTTATGAGATTTCAGCTGTAAAGAGAAGGACGTGAGCCAATTCCTAAATTAAATATGCCCTGTTAACTTTTATAAATGATGC